CGCGCTACATTCATCCGATGCGCACGATGCTGGCAGGTACTTCACTTTGGAACATCCTCAGAACTCCATCGCCAGGTGCTTGGAGTCCTGGCAGGTTTGGAGTCGAGGGAGGGGGTATTTTGTTCCTACTACCACACCTGTATGTTTGAAGGAAGCCGCCGTAGGAAAGCACAGGTCCTCGTCCACAACACTATGCCCGTGAGACGATTTGTCGAGAAGCGATGTTTGTCGAGCAAGGTCTGCAGTCGAACAGGGAAGCCTCATTTGACGTGGAAACCGCGGGAATGGAATGGGAGGGTCACTTCGTTTGCTACGGGGGACGAAAGGGAGTTTTTGTACAGCCTATGCCAGTGGGATCTCGCAGGCCATTTTTGAAGGCCTCCCAATCAGCTCCTTTGTGGAAGTCTTTTCCGGGTCGAATGCGCCACTGTCTCGAGAAGTGTCCTTTGTCTTGGGGGATCCCTCCGCCGGAAAAGGCAAGGAGAAAATCTCACCCAGCTAAGGAGCATTCCGAGACATCGAGACATCGGAACTCAAAGTGAGGGCAGTCAAATCTCCCGCAAGAGTCATATCCCCTGAGAACGGAGACACGCCCCGAGAAGAAACGAACGTCCCTTCTGGAGGGAGAGAAGGGGTTCTTCAGGCACGAGCGGGTGGTGAGAATCAACTTGAACACCCCTGCACCCTGAACCGAACTCGGTCTACAGGATGGCCGCCGTCGAATCAGGTCGTCAGCCCAGTTATGGGAATAGAGGACAACTCATTCCCGACGGGTTGAAGTCAGGTGAAGAGCACTTGAAAAGGGCAAAGGTGTTAAGACATCCTTTCGATCTCAGGGACTCTCTGAAGAAGGAACACGCAGAAGCCATCAGAGCGCGCGTCGATGACCCGTCCGGGCTGATAAGTCGAAGGCTCGAGGCCTTGGACATGCTCAAGAGTTAGAGAAGAGAACCGGAAGACGAACAGGTCAAGGAGAATAGGCAGGCCGTCTTCTTCATTCTGGAGCCAGCCTTCTCCATCAAGAGTGCGGTATTTTGCCTTCAACAGACTTTTGAGATCCTTGGCTTGGGGTTGGGCCCGGAGAAGTCTCAAGCTCCGAAAGAAGTCTGTCGTATAGTCATGGAACCAAAGCCGTCACGCGTTCGCAACCTCATGGAGGCGCTGAGCAAGATCCTTTCAGAAGGACATGTGACGCCGGCCCAAGCAAGTTTGGCTTTGGTTGGAAAGGCGGGCAGCAGTATAGCCTTAGCCAGAGCACCGTCCTGGATGACGACCTCCTATCATCCCTCAGATTGATGCAGAGATTCCTGGAGAATTGTCCTCCAAGAGAGTTACGCCTGCACCACGAGCCTATACTCTACACAGACGCTTCAGATGTCCCGGGGAGAATGTCACAGAGGCTGTTGGGAGCAGTGCTGTATGATCCCTGGGACGCAGCGCTCCTGTACTCCAGCCTTTGAAGTCCTATATGGGACAGTTGGAACTTTTAGCCACTCCCTTCGCCCTAGAGACATGGGCTCTGAGACTGAGAAATAGGCCAGTCTTGCTTTTTGTAGATAATGATAGCGCGGCCGCTAGTCTGGTAAAAGGGTACTCCCCCCAGACGGATAGTACATCCATAATCGGGAAGTCTTGGCTCCTTGCTTCATCCCTCAAAGCGCAGGTTTTTGTCGACAGAGTGGAAAGCAAGAGCAATATAGCCGATAGACCCTCCAGAAACAATTTCATCGAAGTCAAAGCGTTGGGTGGGCGCTGGTCCTCTCCTAAGTTGGGCATCTTGGAGAAACCCTCTTCCACAACTTGGCGTCGCCATGGCGCCAAGTTCAGAGAAGCACATTCACAACGACTCTCTCTGGGTGAGTGTCTTTGTGGTAGCTCCTCTGAGATACGCATGGGTCTTAGATGAGGCCAAAGCACCACATAGACGGGTCATGCCAGTTCCCTTCCCATCGCAGATCACTCGACCACTGAGAGGAAAATAAAGGATTCGGTGAGCGGCGCAGAGTATTCCCTAAAAACCTTTCAAGTCAAAGTTCCTTTCCAACACTCAATGCCCAGTAGAAGGCCCCGAAATTAGCGCAACCGGCTTGTTTTTCCCTATTCGACTTTATTTGTATTCCAAGCAAACTCGAATTAACAGCCACAGGATGTGGCGTCAGACTGCGGCGTCAGTCGGGACTGCGGCGCCAGAGGATGTGACGTCAGAATGCGGTGTCAGCCGCGAACGCTGTGTCAGGGAAATTATGATTTCAGAGAATGCGGTGTCGGAGGCGGCGTCAGTCAGGAATGCGGCGTCAGGGGTGAATGCGGCATCACAGGTTTTCGGAATGCGGAAAGGTAGTGGCCTTTTTTACGGCCGCCCTGGTGCATTACTATATGCATTTGTTGTTGGACATGTCTGTTACGATGGAAGTGAAAGGGAACTTTGTTGACATGCTCCACCAACCTGAGCGGGGGTGGGGGGTGGAAGAACATGCTTCTCTAGGTTTTTTGTTCATAGGTGGAAGGGAATGTGTATATATGTATTTAGTTCTTTGTGTAAGCATACATACATATTCATAATCATGTTATAGGTTGGCTATGTCGTTCCGCTGTGTCGGAAGGATGTGCTGATTAATAAGTAGGCGCATCTCAAATACAAATTTATTGCTTTTATTATATACGTATGTTTTTGAATTGTCTTCATTCGTTTTGACAAGGTGGCCCCATGCTCGGCTTTCGGCCCGGGTGTGAACCCAGGCCTGAGGGCAGCTGACAGTCGCGTCTGGAATGGAGTCGTCGCTGGAACGACTTTGCCAGGAGTTCTGCATACAGCATAGACCCGAAACCGGCCAGACTATGAAAGTCAAATCTTGGAGAAATGTGCCCGCTGTGAAGCAGTCGGAAGGCAAAGAGCCAGGAGTTGACCTTTCAACAGGAACCGCTGGTTGTTCAGCATCCCTCCCACAAGCAAGGACTAGCTGAATTGTTTGTTCACCTTGATCAGAACCTCCAAAACATCCCTCCCACAAACCAACATCAACCACCAACCAGAACTCGATCAATGACAATCCAATGTGGGGGTCCGAATGCTAAAAAGGCGAGCCAGATGGATTTTTTTCAGTACTTCACCCAGGCCAATAGCTTGGAACTGCCTCAGGAGCCTGGGACATGGTTGTATGTGCCAAAATACGAGGAGCCGGGTTTCTCTAGGGGTTTTCCTTGAAACCAGCCCAAAAAGGGACCCCTCAACAAAAACGCAAGAAGCATGGCCCTTGTTACGCTCTCCCAAACAGAAATCAACCTGGAGCCTCCATTGCTACCTTAATTTTTGCTACGAAATATTTTTGCTCGTGACACGTTCTTCTCAAAAAACGCTCGTTTTACCAGAAAGTGCTCGAGACATCCGCGCAAATGCAATTTGCTACCTGCGATTCGTAGCATTTTTTTAATTTGCGCTCGTTTTTGTTTTTTGTTTTTGTTTTTTTTTGTGCGCCGATTTGCGCTTGTTTTGCACTTGTTTTGCACATGTTTGCGCCCGTTTTGGCGGCAACTTGACCATGGGGAAGAAGAAAACACGGCCGAATAGGATTTTTGCCCGAATCGTCAAAAAGCGCTCGGAAGCGAATGGGAGGCAAAAAGTGCTACGTCGAGTCAATTTTGGTATCGAACAAGGTGGGAGGCAGAAATTTATGCTACGATGGAGGTTCCAGGAAAAGGATAAATGGTAATTGTCGATATTTAATTCCTTGTGAACCAACCTGAAAAAGGAGTACCCTCAAAGACACACCCACGTGGTCTATCGAACACCCAATGAGTCTGTTGGGAATCGCTCGTTCCCATTCCCGCCCCTCACAACAGCCAGGAGTTCAAATCCCGAGTTCCCACCTAACCCACAGCAGCAACTAAGTTCCCTGATACTTACGACTTGGCGTCATCGTTTTCTTGGGTGAAGCTGATTCCGAAAAGGAGCTGAGACCAACACCGAGCTGCAGATCTCTGCGTGAAGCGGGCGCAGCGGCACAGGGTGGGCATTGTGCTCTGTTTCTCCAAGAAGGGCGGTGTAATTGGAACACGCATTGGGGTAGCCCTGAGTTGGTGGTCTGGATTGCTTGGGGGTTTGAGGCCCACCCTCATCCACCCTCCAAATTACCACCGTTTTCGAGGGAAGCTAAAAACAAACGCGCACCAAGCCCCTCTTTCCTCATGCGTGGTTCTGGCAAAAACAGCAACAACCTAGGGCAGTGCAAGAGCGCTCTTGTAATCGATGCGGGAGCGAAAAAGAGGCGAGGGAGTCAAGGCATTGAAAAGGGCTCTTTGGTACGAGCTTTGCTCTACTGCTGGCATCTGTTTGTACAGCTTGTTGTTTGATTTTCTAGCATCTTTCAGCTTGGGCATGGGTGGTTCTTGCGCGTGCCCCTTGGCGGTTTTGCTGTTGTTTGCTTTGTTGGTTCCGCCCATATATTGAGAGGGGCTGAAGAATTCGATCTTTATTGTTAACATGCCAACTGGTTGGCAAGTTTCGGTCTGATATGACGGGAGCCTATTACTAATTGGCAAATGGCTTGGCCCTTCTTTCCCCGGGGTCATTTCAACCAAGCCAGGAACATTTACCGGCTTCGAGGGACGTCCCTTTTGAGCCATGTTTTTCGAGGCGTGATGAGACCGTCCATTTTTTTCTTCGTTTTTTCTTGCTTCATGTTTAGCTCTCCCCAAGTCGGCAGCGTTGACAGCTTGATACAACCACCCTGGTTCTTCCCTATAATTCTGTCTTTTGTTGAGGGTACCCCCTTTTGTGGTTTTAAAGAAATACCCTCCCGCCGACTAACATGGAAGTGCCCAGACCCCTGTAGAAAGACTACTTTCCTCTTGGAATGGGGCTTTGTGCACTTCCATGTTAGTTGGTGGGAGGGTACCCAACAAAAAAGCAATTTCTGGGGGGGTCCCCGGCAAAACAAACACACCCCATGGTTTTGGGGCTATTGCGCATCGAGCCATCCGCATCGAACCATCCGCTTGAGGTCTGGCAGTTGGCCTTCCCTTGAGGCCAGGCCAGCCATGGGATGAATCCCCAGAAGGGGACTCCCCCCTACGACTTGACTGCTATTGGGTCGGATCTTTAGACTTTAACCTTTTGGGAAATAAAGGTGTTTTCCACAACGAATCCAGCCGCTTCAAAAATTCCCGGAGTTTCCATGACTCAACAGAGGAACCCTCAAAAATAGGAAAACACGGGGCGGTGGGACAATGATGTTTGCTTGACCTAGCCTCCCTACCGGCACAGCCATATTAGCCATTATTGGCCAGTCTTCGTTTTTGCTCTCTGTGTTGGACGAGCTCGAAGTCTTAATCATACGTATTTGCTTGGGTTATGGTCCCAAAATTCGTGCCTCATCCAGCGCACCCCTAAGATAGTGTTGACATCCGCTCTGCTGCCTTTGTTGTAGTGAGCAGAATCAAGATACGAAGCAGCAGAAACGCCATACAATCTCATCAAACGTGTCTGCCCACGGCCTGCAAGGCGACTTAACATCGTTAAAGCAATGGAACCTGCTATGATACCTCGACGCTCATCACTTTAAGCTCAACCAGGAAGCATGGCTTGTCAACCCATATGGACAAGGAGAGAGAGAGAGAGAGAGAGAGAGAGAGAGAGAGAGAGAGAGAGAGAGAGAGAGACAGAGCGAGAGAGAGAGAGAGAGAGAGGGAGAGAGGGGAGGGCCAGCAGGCCAGCGCCCAAAGCAAGCACAACGATGCTTGACAGCATTTCAATCATTCGCCTATTTTACGGCGAGCTTGGTAGTAAAACGAGCCGGCCATAAAGAACTTTACTTGGGGTCCAATTCTTCCTTCGTGTTTTGGAATGATCGGGAAATTTCGTTCATCCATGTCATTCAAGCTTAGGAAGTGCGTGCAAGTTCTCCAGAAAGCGTTAGTCTGGAAAGTCTCGTTGCTTTGGGTTGCCGCACGTGTCCCCGAGTTTTTGCTGAAAGCCACTTGAGCCATGGGTTGTTAACGTTTATTTCGGATTTCGGATTTCATATCCAAGGTTCTCGGGAGCGTTTCGCGAGGCTGAGCTATTGGTTTTGAGTCGAGCGGGCATAATTTTGAAATGGCTTGTCAGCAAGCCAAAGGATGTGTTTTGTTTTTTTTTGCCCAGGCCAAGACTTCTCTGAATATTTGCTCGGCATCTTGAAGCTTAAATCCAGAGGACAATAATTGGATTCCTGGATGGAAGGACACTATTTGGGTATGTCTGTTGGGGGTAATTACCCCTTGTTGGTTGGTTTTAACAGGAAACCAAAGACAAAAAAGACACCGATTTGAAAGCTTTGCCCCTTGGATTCAATCTTCTATTCACTTGCTGTCGCTCTGTGTCCCCTCCTTCAATCTCCTCAGGAATTTGAACAGTCAAGAAAGTCTCGGGAAAACAACAATGGTTGCTCTTAGATCTTTGTTTAGATCCTCTGTTTTTTGTTTTCTCGAAAAGTTCTTGGAGTTTCTCGTTGTTGCGGTGTGCATTGCTTTATTTGTTGCATGCTCCAAGACAGAGGCGTGTGCAAGCTTGATTTGACGCTTTCAGGGGCGTGGACAACGTGGCGCTCGCAGCACTGCTTTGAGTAAACATAAGACCGAAGCATGTCAACCGACATATGTTTTGAACTATCGCACGGAAATCAACCCGCAAACACGTTAGGCCGCATTTGGCAGGGAATTATCACGTTGCAAGCAGCCAACACTCCCAAAAGAGACCCGCAGTTGGGGGTGTGGGTGTTCGTTTCGCCCTGCGCGCAGGCTGGCCAAAGGTGCCTTAGAAGGCGAGATCGGTGAAGAGAATCGCGGTGAAAACACCAATTCATTGCAGGATACCAGCGCTGGGGCCAGCCAAAGAACGGTTTTTCCAGCTGATTTAGAAGGTTTTTGGTCAAAGAGCCACCTTTAGCGGATCTTTCTGTGGAGCTGGTTTTTGGATGTAGCCCGAATGTCAGAAGCACCTCCCTAAATACTCGTAGGAGGTAGGGGCGGAAGCTTCCCGGAAAGAGAACCGAAGAACATGTCTTGTCCCCGAAATCTTTTCAGCGTTGCCAGCGGCCAGTGATGATGACAAAGGTGTTACGCTTTTTTTTTTGGTGCCATAGGGAACGATTGGTGAGGAGAAGGGAATCAGCTCTTAATCTTAGACACATCTTAGGGCTCTCATGGACACATCTTAGGGCTCTCACGCGCACGGGCCTGATGAAAATGACTGTGGCACCCAGAGGGAGTTTTGGTTTGAGCCAAATTCTCAAGGAAGTTGAGACCCCACTTGGCTGCCGAGTTGGCTATGAACAGGGTTATAAACCCAGTACAGCCCATTGTACAGAGGTTTGTAACCCCATTTATCGCCATCCCAGAAGCGACCTTGTACCTGATATTCCTCCCTGTTCAAGAACACCTGCAAAGAAGAATACCAGGAATATGCAGCAACATGTACGTACTTACAGCGGTTGCGCTGGTTTCTCAGATCCTTCACCTTGAGAACGATTGGTGCATTACTAATGCGGCTAAAGCAGCAGCATCTGCTAACTTCGTAGTTGTCAGGTTGATTTGTTGCTTAAGAGAACCCAAAGGGACCAAGGACCCTTCTTTTGTCTTGTCACCGATGGGAAAGCTGAAGCCGAGACTCGCAAGTTGAGCGTTGAGGGGATCCTCTGGGTTTGAAAAAGATGATGTTCCGCGTTGAATTGACAAGGGAATTGGTTGAGAGCCTCACCTGCAACCTCACCGGCGTCATTTCGTGTCTATGAGGTTCTTCGGAAGGCGTTCAGAGCTTTGAGGGAGATTTTTGCAAATTTCCACCGCTCCCAAGCCATGGGGGGAAAAAGAGACCAATTGGCGATGAGTGTTGTGTTCACACAGAAACTAATGCAAGCTGGCTGGCTCGCTGTTTTCAGTTCGCAGGCGTACAGCTCCAAATGGTTGCCCTGTGCGTCAGACCGAAGTAGCCTGGGCAACAAGTTCAACAGCTAAGGAGCAACAAGTGCAACGTGGTTTGCCAGGCGGCGCAGCTTTGGTTAATGGCGAGTTTTTAGACCCACGAACCCTTTTTGATGCAGAAACAGACATTTGATGCACCTAACGAAGCCACATATTTGAAAACCAAGGAAGGGGTATCACCTGCAGATTGGGCCAATTAGATCCCCCACCCCGCCCGACTTGCGTGGGTCGGACGTGCTGCGATGGCTTCCATGGCATGCTGCCCAGCCGGGGCAGAGCCCTTAAGGGCGACTTGGCTCATATGTCTCACAGAGGAACCTCCTCCAGCCGGGTCCCAACCACTGCTTTTTGGACACCGGCTTTTTGTTTTGGGGAGGGGGGGAGGTACTGGCTCCTGACTTTCCTTTAAACTTTAAACAGACCCCTGAGAAGGGTACGCTCCACAAAAAACGTACACCCAGAGATGGGCCCTACGGGATATGGGGTTGCCTTGTTCACTCCTGTTGGTTCAAGAGGGGAAGCGAAAACGCAAGCAATTCTGGTGGGGTCTCAAAGTGAAACCTCCAAAATGTGTGGTTTCAATGTCCCTTTCACAAAAACTGTCAAAAAAAGAGACACAGTGGGTCCTGTGATAAAGGGCCGAGTAGCATCTTTCAAGGGCCCAGGATGGACCCTGATAGGCCTTGTGCGATCTTTGGCGCTGAAGCCCGGGTTAGAAAAAGGTTAGGGGCCGTCCCAGCGTGCGTCGGGGTGGACCAGTTTACCAGGACAGTCAATATTCGACGCCATCTGTCAAGGAAATGATACCACCAAAAATGCCACTTGGAATGGATGTTAAGGGTTCTTACCAAAATCCAATAGGGCTTGGTTTCCCCTATGGTGAAAAGGCTAGCCTCAAAGAGCACAGTACCATGAGGAGATGAAGGACTACAAGCCCAAGCACACCATGCTGAAGATCCAGTCGTTGAGCTGCTACGTGGCCACTCCCAAGGTCAACACCACGAAAGCCGTGATCGTGTTCGCTGATATGCTGCCCGCACGGTTTTCAGGATGGGAAGGGGGTGGTTCACGCTAGGGTGCCTTCGCGACAGCAAAGGACTTCCATCTGTTTGCAGTATTTTGTCAGAGGACTCCGAGCAAGGGCTCAGAAAGCACAAGAGCGTTTGTTTTCTTTAGCCAGTGGGCAAGGGATAAGAACATGGCAAAATTCGAAGATGGACTCCCTTCAAATTGGACCCGGGTGCCTTTCAAGGAGACGCCGCAAAATCAGGTCTCTGGCTTCTTGTCGTCGAGGCCGCGGCCAATGAATTGTCCCTCCTCCCAACCATGAAAGGCGACAGAGGGGTAATTCTTGGAAGACCGTCCTCTTGCAAACATCCACTTTGGTGTGTCGTTTTTAGGGGACCCAAAAAACTGGTGGGTTTGCTTGTGGTTCCCCTGGCAAAGCAACAAAAAAGGGGTACCCATTACAAAAGACACGCCAACTTCCATGATTGTTACACGTGGGTTTGTCTCTCAAGGATCCCCTAAAACAGAGTGTGATTAGCCATGGTTTATTTCATCACCAGGGATGTCGCGGTAGTGACTGACCTGTGGTGTTTGGCTCAAGATTTTGGGTTCCGTCGCGCCTCGAATGGGCGTCGCCGAACCCCTGCGTCGACCGACGGCATCTCGGGGGAGAAAGAGACCTCGGGCCGCCGCCAGGTTGGTAGGGACCAGTCGTGCGGCCTGTTGTCGACCAAGGTTGCGGGTTAACCCTTTTCTTGTTTGGTTTGTTTTCCTTTGGTTGTTGTTCTCTGGTGTGTGGGAAACCCTGATCTTTGGGACCGGGGATTGGTTTGCTTTTGGGGAACCTTTCTTTTGTGGCTTGTTTACCCCAACTAACCCATTGCCTGGGCACAGGCTCGTGCCCGAATCACAGGTTATCAGCCGTAGGACTTTCCTACGCGCTTGAGACCATCAACTACAAGCTCAATGACGTCGACCCCACGTTCGCACAGGAGCGTCGTGGATGAGGAGGCCATCCTAGGTGGCCTCCGCTCAAGTGAGGACCTACCGGACTATGACTACGAGGAATTCGAGACAGGTTCAGCAGGTCAGGACCGCAGGGGTGATGATCTCGGTAGGGACACACCCAGAAGCCGTGGCAGGTACACTGACGATGGAGACGACCGCATTTTCCGTCAGGCCACCGATGATGAACAAGGACGAGGAGCTCGCTCCGGTAGGAGCGGCTCCGAATCAGGTTTCGGACAAGGTCATTTGGACTTCATCAGCATGGCGATGAACATGGCTCGTCCTCACACGGACGATCAGGAGGCTAGGTCTCTTTTTCCAGGTGAAACGCAAGCCTCGGATCAGGTTGAGGACAGACCGTTAGGTCCGGGAACCATGGTTTTGGCTCCGAGAGATATCTCGGGTCGATCAACAGGTTCTCAAAATCCAGGTCAGTTTGATGAGCAAGAGGAGAGGGCGTTTGCGGGCATCGGATACGATGCCCTGCTGGCGTCGACCGCAGGTTGGGGCAGTAGCGTGAAGCAAGAGTCTGATACTAATAGGCCCAACCCGGTTTCGACGACCAATTTTGAGTTCAATGATGATGAAGATTATGCCGCATTTGCGGATCGTCGTGAAGAGGAAGAAAGTTTGTCGTATCGGAATGCAAGGAGCCGTGCTGCTGCGAAGGCTAGGAGTCTCTCTCGTGGAGCTGCTAGGGACCTTCGTGTGGACACGGATACTCGGAGTGCAAGAGAGCGGATCGGGGACAGTCGGGACACCCTTAGGGGTTTGGAGGCCATCCATGATGGAAGAGGACCGGTAGGTCCTCCCGTCATTGATCCCGTCCCAAATGTTCCCCCTTTTCCCAACATCCAGTTTGGAGGACCGCTGCATCAGAGAGTCGGGGATATGAACCGGGGTACTGGTTCATCCAGGATTACTCAGCGAGCCGCCGATGTGGTTGAGGCAGGCGCGAGGGACGGAAGACTTGCTAGTGCGCTTGGAATCGAGGATCGTCCGCCGATCGCTAGCCCGTTAGGGCGAGATCTCAGCGACCTCGAGCCACTAAGGTCTAGCAATGAGTTCACTCCCCAATGGGGATCAGCAAGCAGGGAACGAAGTGCCTCTGCGAAGAGGCCGTCATCCGTAGCCGGAGGGACCGATAGGTCGAAGGCGAGGAGGGCTAGCCCTGGACCGATAGGTTCAACGCCGCAGGATGAAGACATGTTTGATCCTGCTGATGTTCATATTCATTCCACTCCTGAATCTCATGGGTCGAATGTCAATCCCAGATCCGGCGATAGCCGGGGAAGGGGTATCAGTCCAATCAGGCCGCCCAGGATCGCTGATGCTCCTGTTTCCGACCCCAGGGGACGTAACAGAGTTGAAAGGGTTCCTGAGAGGATCGAGATATCGACTCCTCCAGCTCTGAGATCCCATTCTTCTGCTGAATCTGGAGATGCTAGGGTCAAGGAAGTATTTGACCTGCATATCCAGGAGCTGTTTGAACGAGGCGAGGCATCCGGTTCCGTTGCAAACACTCTCAATGCTTTTGCTAATCAGATCAGGTTACTGAACGGTCAGGTGAGTTCCATGCAAAAGGAATGGCAAAATGAGAATCGGCTCATGAAGGACAAGGTCGGCCGTCTAGCTACCGAGGTTGCGACCCAAGCGGATGCTGATCGTATGCGAATGATTGTTCAACGGTTTGCCGGTGAGGTCATTCCCGATAGCAGGGCCATTGTCAGGCAGGCTATCGATGAGCAAAGTGAGGTTGTGGATCAGAGGATCAACTCGTTATCCGACGAGGTTCGGGAATCCGTTAGGGACCTCGAAGGCGGTA